GAGGGAGAGGGAGAAGCAGACTCCCCGCTGAGCAGGGAGCCTGATGTGGGGCTCCATCCCAGGACCCTGAGATCAGGACCTGAGCCGAAGGCAGATGCTTAATGGACTGAGCCACCCAGGCACCCCGGGAATTCCTACGTTAGCCCATTGAAATAAAAAGTCTCCATAGAAATGACGATATTCATATCTTGGTGGAGCCAAGCTTCTCAGTGGCTTTCCCGAACTAGGTTTCTCTATGGAGTTGGGAGAGATCCTGAGGTCTGCTGACCCGTGTGAGTAGGGATCGAGCCCAGCAAGAAGGAAAGAAAAAGAAGAATCGGCAGGTGGTAAACACAGAATTCAGCAGTTTCCTAGTGCTGTGTCTAGTTTGGGGCTAGCAAGTCTCGGCTCTGTTGCCCCCCCTCTTAGGACCATGCTGAAGCACCCCATCCTTATGAGGGCCTGTGGGGACCAGAAATCCACAGCTTCTCTTCCTAGTCATCTAGTATTCTAGCCCAAGAGTGGGTCCAGGCAGGCCAAGGCTGTAGCCACAATAACTGTTCTACTTGGGACTCTTGCCTTCACTCTCAGCTAGTACAACAGGAGGTTCACTGTGGCCGAACCCCACGCCACGGCAAACTGAGGGGAGAGCTGTGCCCAGGAATCTTGTTGTGGGCCTTCCCTCAGGAGTTCCAAGGTAGAGATACCAGGCGGAGGTACTACTGGTCGCCAGAGAGGTACTGGCTCAGCCCCTGCCTCAGGCCACAACGTCTCCACAGGGCACGGCGACAGAGGGAGGCTCCTTGCTCCCTGTGCTTCCAAACTGAACTGGGTCGGGGCTGTGCCTCAGCTCTATTAATAGCCCCCTAGCCCAGCCTGCTAGCCCCAAACCCGGATGCCGGGAGCTGTGAGTCAGCAGCTAAAAATAACGGAGAGCGACTGCACCCCAACCCCAACGAGCAGCTCCCTGAGGCCCTCCACCCTCACGTTTCGGTCAGTCCCAGTCCCCAGTCCAGGGCCTCCTAGAAGTTCAGTGTGCCGTAGCTGTCCAGGCCTCCTGGGAAGACGGTAAGGATAGGCGGTGGCAGGCTCAGGGCCGAGGGAGGACTCAGGGGCCCGGGCCTGTAGGGTCTGGGACTAGGTCCTGGCATTCTGGCCCCGAGTCTGGACTCCGAGGTGACACGACTGCAGCTGAGAGCCTGGGAGCGGAGAAGTTGAGGCCGCGGGGGATTGTCAGGACTGGGTCGGAAGGGGAGGGGGAGGAAGAGGCTGCTTGGCTGCGAGGCCGGACGCCGGGGAGGGGACAGAAAAGCAGGGGTGCGGGGTGGAGGTGCGCGCCGAGAGGCGAGAGCCTGGCAGTACCTGACAGGCTGGCCGCCCCCGGAGCTGAGGCCGGCGATCGGTCAGATTGAGGGGCGGATCGGGAACCGGGAAAACTAAGGAAATGCAGCCTGAAAGGGGAGTGTGTGAAGGAGACCTGGCCGCTACGCGGCGGCGCGGACGCCCCGGGAGACTGGGACCGGACAGCGGCCGCGGCGTGGGCTCCCGACGCGCCTACCTCCTCCCCGCCCATCGCGCGCCGGCGCCCCCCTCCCACCGCGCCAGCTGCAGGCCAGGTATGTTGGCTTGGACCGCGGCCCGTGTACGTATGTGCGTGTGTATGCATGGCGGGGGCGGGGCGGTGAGAAGGGAAGGGGCGGGGCCCGGCAGGAGGAGGGGGCGGGAATACAAATTCAAACTCGCTTCCGTCAATCCCGAGACCGGAAGCGGTCAGGGGTCTCTTGGGAATTGTAGTTCCCGGGGGCTGCCTTGCAATCGAGCAGGGTCGTGTCCCGAGGGGCTGGTGCGGCCCCCACCCCTCCCCCCCGCCGGGTCCCAGTCTGGCGAGAGGAGAGGAATTGAGAACCGAACCTCCTGACCTCGCCAGCGTCTTAATTCGATTTCCCTTCGTGTGGAGATACGAACCGGGGTGAATGTTGGTGCGGTGGGGGACTGAAGAGGCAGCCACAGAACCCGCTCCGGTTTTGCCTTGGCCCCTCCCTCCCCCTTCTACCGGACTCCTCATCCTAGGTCAGCTCCTCACTGGTCTCCTTAACTGATTTAGCCCAGGACCTCCCGAGCAGCACATACACTGGGGAACTTGTGGGGGAACTTGTGGGGAACTTGTGGAGGGCCTGGGGACCAGACCCTGCGCGCAGCAGCTCAGAGAGGCGAAAACTTGTGGAAATCTTGTGGAAATCGGATTATACCCTCAGGGTCTAGAGTCAAGGACACAGGTCCCCAACCGGCACGGAAAACAGGTGGCATTCAGACGTCACGGTGACGACTGACGCGGCCTTCTTCTTGCGGCAGGTGACCACAAGGTGGAGCTACAACGCAACTCTGCGCAGCGTGCCTCGGCCACCCAGAGTGTCCCCCGCGGGGGCTGCTCTCCTGCTTCCCCTCTTGCAGCCCTTCGTTGTCCCAGGTGGTCCTCCCGCCTCCAGCCCAAGATTCTCGCCCGTGATGACCCCTCAGTGTCATGTCACATTAGACCGGGATGGAAGGTGCATCCCCCACCAAGCCCCCCCGCGCTGAAAAGATCAGACCACGACCAAACGGAAGTTAAATTTATTGAGTAACAGATTAACAACATAGGAGGAGCCAACCTGTCTTGAAGAAAAGGCTGTGAACAGCAAAAAGCCACCTATAGGCGCAGAATTAAATGGCTACATGGGCTCTTCAGCCCCCAGCATCTAGGCAGAAAAGCAGTTAAATTGCAGGGGTCAGGAGAGACAGTGAATGGAGTGGGATTGGTGTTTCCATCATCTTAGTTCTCCAGGAAAGGCCGTTCTGTCATCTCCTCCAGTCACTGGTCCAAGCTGGTCCATCCCTGACACACCCTGTGCCTTCTACACAAGAACACGTGTACGCAGATCTGAAACATTATTGTGGCAACCTCCTTCCCACTTTCTCTGTTCTAGTTTCATTTCGGGAGAAACTTCCCGTGACTCACTGTCTTCCCAACGACCTCAGGTCAAAACCCCAAGGGGGAGCCAGACTCCATGGAAGCTTGCCGCATGCCCTCATAGTTCAAAACCTTCCGTTGGCAAAGTTTACCCCACCCCATCCCCACTCAGCCACTCTCCTTTCCTTGTGGTTAGTCAATCCAGACAGGCCTCAGACTCTGGTTGGTGGGGGTCCAGGGTTGGGCATTCACTCCATTATGAAATTGTTGATCCTGGTCAGCAGCACTGCTGTTTCTAAGCCTAGAGCAGGGGGTGGGGAGAGGGGAGGACATGTAGGGAGTGACCAAAGGGCAGACTAGAGGAAGAGAGAAATGAGGTGAGGGAGGACGTTCTTACCAGTTTTCTCTCTCTCCTTCTTACATCTCCTAAAGGGAGAAAAGCTTCCCATTATGAGTTCAGCCGGCCTCGGCCATGACCCTTTGATCCCTGGTGCCCCCAAACTGCCTTTCCCCAAGCCAACTTGGCGTGGAAGGAAGGGTCTCAGAATCTCAAAGGCACCAAACAGACCCAACCCCACGCTCCGGGCAGCATACGTGGGTCTGAATCAGCCACGTCACCGGGACCCTGGGGGAGAATGCAGACCCGGAAAGCTGAGGTGTGAAGTGCTCACCCTTGGAGGAGGAAGGTCCACAGAAGCAACAGGGTAGAGACACAGTTGGTGATGATCCACATCATAAGGTAGGTTTGAGGGGGCTACGGGAAGAGGAAAAGGCACCTGTCGGTGACCAGAGCACCAAAGGTAGTATATGGGGTGGCGGGGGTGGGGGGTGGAATATGTAAGGAAGAGAGGGCCAGGGATAAGGAGGAGCAGGGACGGGGAAGGAAGGGGTGGGCTGACAGTCCCAGAGCCCTTACGATGATCCAGACGGGGTAACGCATCTGCTGCAGCAACTGGCAGTCATTGGTGGTGACCGAATCCACCCCTGCGCACCAGAGCAGGGAAAAGAGCCAAGGCTTGTTCACCACAAATAGGTTCACCGAGACATTATCCTGGTGTAGTGCCCTGTGGAGGTGGGAAACAGGAATATCCAGGGTCACAGGGCAAGAGGCACAGGAGGCAGCCCCCGTCCACGCTTGACTCTACAGTGTTGCTGCCAAGGAACTATCAGTTCGATCTTTACATACAGCCCCTGACCATCAGTGATTTTCTTTGCATGGCTGAACTTTGCCTCCTGGTGGATCCCACCTCCGGATCCTAGCTTTGCCATCTGGGGCCGCACAACTGTGTCTCTCTTCTTTGTCCCATGACAGCCCTTCGGAGGTCTGGGGAGCAGGTGAGCACGTCTCCGAGTCACCTCCTCTGCAGGCCCGACAGCCCCAGCTCCCTTAACCAAGGCCCGGGGACCTGGCTTCTCCTTCCCTTCGCCATCCAAACCTCGCCCAAGCTGATCTTGCTTCAGTTTCTCAGTGTTCCTTTCGAAGTGTGGGGGCTTGCATCTGAACATGATATCCCAGGTGGGCTTGGCCCAGCTTTGAGTACAGCAAAAACTCCTCTTGGCTTCTGGGCATGATGCCTGCATGCAGGCAGCCCGGGGTCGGGTTCGTTTTGGCAATGTCACAAGCCACTGATGACTCATTATGCACACTATTCAATCAAAGCCCTGGTCTCTCTCGCACATGTTCCTGCTGAATGCCAGTATCTCCTCTCTCGGCTTTGTGCAATTGAGCTTCCTTTGGACTGCAAATAGAGGTCTTTACATCTATCCTTGTGTTTCCTCTCAGTACATTTGGTCCATCGTCTTAGCCCGCGTAGGCCTTTCGGGGCCTTGATTTCATCACCAGTGTATTCATTACCAATTCATGTCTTTTGGAAACATGATCAGCAGTTGAGGTTGACTGGGACAAGACTAAAGGGAGGGCCAAAGCCAATGTCGTGTCGTGACAGCTCGGGGAAAAGTCCTTAAAATACTTGCGATTACTGGGCTATCATTCAGGCCACGTTTTTTTTTTTTTTTTTTTCCTGCCTGACCGCAGGGACCTTATAAGAGACCTTGGCAATGGCATGCTTTGCCATCCATCCTGTTTACTGGCTGGGTCAGCTTCCGGGGCCCAGCTCACATCTGGGACTCTCTTGCCTCTCTCCCCTGGACCCCTCCTCTCTTGCTCTTACTTATCTCTGTGGTGAAGAAGGAAAGCTAAAACTGTTCTTGTGGCCTACAAGGTCCTACCCAGTTTGGCTCCTGCCCACCTCCCCAGCCTCACATTCCCCTTGATTCGGCTGCTGTCCCTGCTCCTCTTGCAGCTCTTCTCAGCATTCACTAGCTCCTTGTGACCGCGACCGGTCAGGTCTCAGCCCAGATAGCACCTCCTCTTTAATGACTTTTCCTAATGTGGCCCCTCTCGAGCCCTCACTCCCAAGCCTAATTGCTCTACTTCATCACCACGTTTTCTTATCTTCATATCACTTATCACTACCCAATACGCATGTAATTCGTTCGGTTTGTTATCTGTCTCTTTGTATGTGTGCCCAAAGCCTGCAACAAAGAGTGCCTGACATGGAGCAAGTGTTAAATATATTGATAAATATTTGTTGTATGCGTGAATAAATGAACGGCTTTTGCCCTCCCTGAGGTGGCGCTACCCTGCCATGAAGCTTCCTGGGATCCCCTTGGCTCCTTTCCCCGGACACTCACTTGATATCCAACAGTGGCAGATCTTGGTAGGGGAGGTTGAGAAACTGGGGTCTCTCAGTTCTGTTGCTTCCCTGCTGTCCATATATCTGGCGCATCCTGGGTGCCCGTTGTTGGACATTGGCCCGATCTTCATCTGGTAGCCAAAGGACCTGTGGTTTGGAGAAGATAGCTATGAATCTGGGGAGAGCTTGGGGATTCCAGGGGCAGGGGCAGGGGCAGGGGCAGAGAGGTCCGACCACAGAAGGAGGTATATGAGTTGGGGTAGGGCCCTGGGGCAGGGGGCCGCCTCAAAATGATCACCATGGCCTCGGGAAGGCAGGGGCTGGGGAGAGGGGCAAGAGGGAGCACTTGGGGTCCTGGCAATATCACCATGGCTTGGGGCACCCTCGCGCTCAGCACGGTCTCCAAGGTCTGGTTCACAAATGTGTCATGGTATGTGTGATTTCGTGGGGGGCGGCGCAAGTCAAACATGATGGAAAGGTTAAGGACTGCGGCTTCCTTTAGCAGCTCTTCCAGCGTTGGTACTGACTGGTTCTCAGCCTCCTTCCGATCAGGGCCTGACAGCCGCTTGGCCCCCCAGAAGGGTTGCCTCTATAAGAACAGGAAGGTTATTTCAAGATCAGAAGGAGCCGTTAGGCCATTGCCCCATCCTTCCCGTTTTCACTCATTTCCCCTACTTGGCGCCCAGCTTCTGTGCACCTCTGAGCCACGGTCTTTCTTTCTTCCAACTGTGGCCCTTTCCAGACCGTCTAACACCTTACTCTGTGACCCCCCAACCTCCTCCCCTCCCAGTTTCCTAACTTCCTCTCTCCTGCTACATTTTCTCTTTGGCCTTGCAGAGACCTCTAGGGTCTTGGCCCCTTGGTTTCCTCCCGGTCCATCAGCCCCTTTCTGCCACACCTACGTCCCCTACCCTTGGTCCATCCACGGCTTGAATTACTTTTCCATAGCATCCTCAACTCCGTTCCTGCCCTGCCTGCCTCCCCCCAAATCTGGAACTCTGATTCAACTCTATAATTGTCTGCCTCCTCCAGCCGTAAAACTGGGGAGCAGAGCACATCGTGTGGACTGTCGCTATAGTCCTTTTTCACCTTCAGTGCCACTTCATCATCCTTTTTTTTTTTTTTAAAGTAAGCTCTACGCCCGACGTGGGGCTTGAACTCATGATCTTTTTTTTTTTATTTTTTTTTTTAAGATTTTATTTATTTATCAGAGAGAGAGAGACAGAGGCAGGCAGAGGGAGAAGCAGGCTCCTTGCTGAGCAGGCGTCCCTTGAACTCATGATCTTGAGAGTCGCATGCTCTGATGACGGAGCTAGCCAGGCGCCCCACTTAACCATCCTTTTCCTTGTTCTTGTTTTGCTCCTTCTTCCATTCCTAGTGGCTCTTCCAAACCTCTGCCACTCTCCTCTCCTCCCCTTGTAATCAACAAACGCCCTTACCTCCTAATCACCAACATGGACAAAGCAAGCAATCTAATACCTATTAAGTATTGACTTATGTGCCAGGTGGTGTTAGAAGTGTATTAATTTGGGGCGCCTGGGTGGCTCAGTCGTTAAGCGTCTGCCTTCGGCTCAGGTCATGATCCCAGGGTCCTTGGGTCGAGCCCCGCATCGGGCTCCCTGCTTGGCGGGAAGCCTGCTTCTCCCTCTCCCACTCCCCCTGCTTGTGTTCCCTCTCTCGCTGTGTCTCTCTGTCAAATAAATAAATAAAATCTTTTTAAAAAAAAGAAGTGTATTTATTTAATTGTCCCAATAATCCTACAGGATAGGTCCTGTTTTGATGCCTATTTTACAGATGAGGAAAATGAAGCCCAGAGAGACTAAGGAATGTTGCTCAGGCTCACACAGCTAGTAGGTGGTGAAGCCAGGAGTCAAACCCAGACATCCCCTGGTCTTAATCCCTCTGATATGTCATCATACATAGAGTTCAGTGAAAAACCAATCAAGGGCCGCCTGGGTGGCTCAGTCAGTTAAGTGTCTGCCTTCATTCAGCTCAGGTCATGATCCCAGGGTCCTGGGATCGAGTCCCATATCGGGCCCCCTGATCAGTGGGGAGCCTGCTTCTCCCTCTGCCGCTCTCCCTGCTTGTGCTCTCTCTCTCTCTCTGACAAATAAATCAATCAAATCTTTTAAAAAAAAAAAAGAAAAACCAATCAAAGTACAAAGGAATATATGAAGTGATCCTATTTGTGCAAAATGAAAAGTACGTGTGTGTACATACATGTATGTATATATATGGACATATGGAATACATACCCAACTGTTAGCAATGAATATCTCAGAGGAGTTGGATTATGGGAGACTTTTCAAACGTTTAGGTTATTTCTCTAATGTTTAATTTTTTATGAGGAACGTGTATTCCTTTTATAATCAGGAAAAGAGGAACTGAGAAAATAAAGTACCCTTAATGAATATTTTTTGTCACCTACAGGACTGAAGCCTGAACTGGGGCCGGCATTCAGAGCCCTTCGAGACCAAGCCCCTGCTCCCCTTGCCAGTCTCACCTCTTACTACTCCCATGAATTTTATCTCCCACTGGCACTGAGCCACTTTTTGTCTCCTGGAAACACTTCTTCATACCTCTGCGCTTTGCATATGCTCTTCCCTCTGACTAGAGTTGTCAGTCCCTGCTTTGCCCACTTAAAAACCATTGTCATTTCATGTGCTGCTCAGGCCTTCTCTCTTGTGAAACCGCTCCTGATCCTCTCCCACGCCCACCGTGCCAAACAGTGGCTTTGCCAAACAGCGGCTTTGACAAACAGCGGCTTTGCTCTCTCTCCTCTCTGTTTACTTTCCTACCTACTTATTTATTTATTTATTTGAAGATTTTATTTATTCATTTGAGAGAGAGAGGGGGAGAGCATGAGCAGAGGGGAGGGGCAGAGGGAGAGTGAGAAGCAGACTCCCCGCTGAGCAGGGAGCCCTGACACAGGGCTCCATCCCAGGACACCCCCCCACACCCCGGGATCATGATCTGAGCCCAAGGCGGACGCTTAACCATCTGAGCCACCCAGGCGGCCTCTCTCTTCTCTATTTCGTAAAGCTCTTGTGATCGTTCTAGTTTTCCTATGCTTACAGCCTATTGGCTCAGCTCTGTCCTGTCCTTGGAGGGAGTGACTTGCGGGCAGAGACTGGATACCTATTGCTCAGCACAGGGCTCAGAAAATACTTATCGATGAATGAACTCTCCGCTCCCCTCCCCCCCAAGTGCCCCTACAGGTGGTTGCCTCTTCTGTGAGGCTGTCTTCACCTCTAGGAACCAGGTCCCGGCATTGAGCTTCTTCAGTTCAGCGCAGGAGAAGTCGCTGCTGTGGGAGGAGGTTCGGGCTGGGAACACAGAGGCCACATCCGTGGTGCGGCTCAGGTGCTCATCATGCATGAGGAAGGGGATCCCGTCAGAGCTGAGGGCACAAGGCGGGGGTCAGAGGGCTGAGCTCTGGGACTGCTCATCACTTCCTGAGCTCCCCTGCTGCCTCCCTCTGCCCCCCCAGCTTCTTTCACCTGACCATCACGTCGGTCTCAAACACAGCAGCTCCACATTCAGCGGTCTTCCGCAGGGACATCAGGGTGTTCTCGGGGGCCAGCTGGGCAAGGGAATTGACAGGGAGGTAGCAGAGAAGGGTGGGAGCCTGGGAACCCACAGGCCCGATCGCTGCAGCCTGGAGGAGCAGACCCATCCCACCCAACACTCACCATGGGGGCCCCTCGGTGTCCCACCAGACCAGGCTTGGGGGGTAAGTCTCTGGGCTCCATGATACAGGGTGAGGAGATGCATAGAGGGGCCAGGTAGACGGCCAGGGAAACTCCAAAAAATAGGAACAGGAGCAGAGTCTTGGGACCTGTGGGGCACGGGGGAGAGGCTATGGAGAAAGGGCAGTGGGTGAGCTCTGGCGGGGGGAGCGGGCAGAGAGCCGAGTACAGGTGCAGTAAAACAGAAGTGGCGATGGCCAGTGGGGGTACGTCGGGGAGTGGAGGTGGCACCTCTTCGACGGACACGGTAGAAGGTAGCAGCCACAGGCCAGGCCAGGAGGGTGACACCAGCAACGGCTCCGATATGCAGGAATGGGGCTGTGGCCTGGGGACAAGAACCGGTGAGGAGGGTTCTTCGCCCTCGCGCCCCTCCCCTCCGCCTCCTAGAACCTGAGTCCGGAGCTACTTTTAGCTCTGGGGACCAGGGGGTTGGACGCAGGCCAAGGCTCCCACCTAGTTCCCCGGAGATCAGTCACTCACCTGCAGTGACAGACGTAAGCTACGCCATTCCTGCTGCCATTGGACGTCCAGTCCCACAAGGCCAGCGGCCACAAGAAGCATAATGAGCAGCAGCAGCATCTGGGGGAACCAGGGACGGACGGGGCCTTCTTGGTCAACCCGGGCTCGTGGCTCCTCGGGCTGTGCCCCGCCCCCGCCCCCGCCCCACTCTCTGAAAACAGGACCATTTCTTTCCCCCTGACTCATCCCCATTCCTTCTCTCACTCAACACGTATTTACTGGGCTTCACGTCCTGAGCTTGAGTCCGCGCGTAGGATACTAGGGTGCTCGGCAAAGACCTGGCCCAGGGCCCCCCTCTGCCTGCTCACTCCCATCCCCACTGTACCTTGTGGACACTGTGCAGATGCAGAGGCTGACCACAGAGCCGCAGGAGCAGGGCCAGGAGCTGGAGGCAGAGGGCGGTGGCAGGAATGAGGCGCCCAGCGGGGTCGCTGAGATGCGCTTCCCAGGCTGATGCCTCCCTCCTGCCCTCCCCTCAGTGGCCAGGGGGCGATGCTGAGCAGGAAGGGAGGAATTAACGGGGTGGGGGGGGTGGTTAGGCGGGCTGCTCCCCGACCCACCAATAGCAGGGATGCATATGTGACAAGTAGAGAGATGACCAGCAGAAATGCCAGGGACCAGTCCATCCAGTGTCCCCAGTGGTGGAACAGGAATCTGTGGGAAGGGAGAGGAAAATGTCTGAGTGGGGGCAGGGGTGTGAATAGTGGCCTGAGGGGAGTTGGCGTGGGTGGGTCCAGAAGGATGACCAGAAGGGAGTGAGGGGAAGCACTTCATGGGGCCAGGGGTCCCAAGGACTGGGGGCCGGGGGGGTGGGGGGGGACTCCGTGGAGGAATTTTCTAAGGAGGTTGGGTACCAGGACAGCTGGGCAGGGCTGGGGATGACTGAGCCCCCAGGGGTCCCAAGGTGGGGCAGAGATTAACATGGATGCTGAGGAAGGAGGGGGTCCGTGACACACTCATTGAAGTTGTGCAGGTCATTGAGAAGGATGAGCCCGATGTACAGCCAGCCCAGGGAGAGGAGAAAGGTGAGGAAGAGCAGGCCAAACCAGATACAGTCGCACTGCAAAGGGGCAGGAGAGAAGCTCACAGCCGATCCCCACTTCCAGCTCAGAGTCCCCAACGGACGGCAGCTCAGTGGGGCTTCCTGCCAGGCGTTGGGCTGCTCTGCTCTGCCCGGCAGGCAGGGACAGATTTTCTTCCTGGGGAGAGAAAGCCCCTTCCCCCCAGCTGCCTCTGAGCACACGTGGCCTCCTTCTCCCCTCCAGGCGGCCTCTGCCTTGGACTTCCAGTACCCCCCCAGCCCCACTCCACCTTGCTGGTTTGCATCCTCTCTTTGGGGCATTTCCTCCAGTGGCAGCTATACAGGCAGTGGAGGCAGCGGGCCCAGACGGAGCAGCAGCCGGGGGACTCGGCCATGGTGAGGGCCTGGGAGAAGGGACACTCAGCCATCAGGCACCCTGGCAGAAGACGGACCCCAGCCTCCCTCCCAGGGCATCTCAGGAGCTTCGGGGGAGGAGCAGAGGCCTGGGCCGCTGCTCAGCAACGGCAGGGAGGTCATGGGGCTGCCCGAAGTGCCAGATTGGACGAGGACGTGAGCCGGGGCGGGGGGATAATCTCTGGGGTCTTTCTTTCCCTTGAACCCGGATACCTGGAAAGTCAGTGGGACACCCAGGAGATCCAGCCTCTTTGCAGGCAGGATGCATACCCACCCTCCCCAACTCCTCCCCATTTAACAGCATCCATCCAGCTCTGGGGATATCGCGCTCGCCCAAGGGTGGGGACCCGGGAGAAAGTGCCCAGGGTGGGGCAAGTTCAGTTCGGCAAGTTGAGGCAGATCTGGCCAAGCTTCAGGCAGCCTCATGGTGGGGAGCCTTCCACCCCAGGAACTGAGAGTAACCTGAAGCAGAGGTTCTAGTTCTGACCTGGGGCTAAGGAAGGCCCGGCTAGTTGGCCAGTTGCTATGGATACAGAGATTGCACACACCACAAAGCCCTGACTAAAAGATTCTCAGTCTCCACCTCCCAAGGGGCAGGGGGCACTGTCAGTAAGAGGAAGGCTGGAGGGAAACAGGCTCCTGGGTCACCTCCCAGCCTTCCAAAGGGGCCCTTTTCCTGCCCGCACACACCTGGAAAATCCAAGCCCTTTCGCCCCAGTCGTGTCCCTTCCTGCCCAGTCACCCCCCGCCACCCCAGCCAGGAACCCAGTCTCCACCTTCTCCCTTTTAGGGGCCCCACCCTCTGAGCTCGCTTGGGTGAAAGTACAACAAATATCGGTCAAAGGTGTGTGTGTGTGTGTGTGTGTGTGTATGTGCGTGTGTGGCGGGAGGTGTGGTTGCGTTGGGGCCGGGGAGTGTTAGACCTTGGGCTTTCGGGTCACACTGAGACCCAGCAGGCTTACGGATGCCCGAACTAGGCTGGGTGTGCGTCCTTCTACCTGAGAGGGTGTGTGATTTGTGTCAGCCTTCGTATGTGTGCGCGCACTAGTGGCTGTCGGCGCTAATGGGTTTCTAGAGGACTTTGAGTGTGTAGAGGAGCCCCTGGATACACCCAAAGTGTGTGTGGTCTGAGGGACACGAGCCCTTGTCATCTGGGCTCCCTAAGGCTGTGGAGTCTTGGAGGGGGACACAGTGGCCGGACCCCTGAAAGGAGGGAGGGTGTGGCTGCCCCTGAAACTGCCCTCCTTACCCCACCGGGGGCCTTGGGAAAGGAGGATTAGGGTAGGGAGTGGAGGGGTGAGGGGGCTGTAGCTGGGGGAAGGAAAACTCTCCCCTATCTGAGACCCCTCCCAGGAAAAAAAAAAAAGAAACATCCTAAAGGGAGGCCCCTGCTTCTTCCCATCCCGGACTGGCTCCTAGTAGCGGGCCCTGGGCTCCATCCACACTTCCTGCCTCCCTGCAGGTCCTGCCCCTGTATCCCAGACACGGCCTTCCAGAGTCCCACCTCCCTCCAGGAGCTGTCTGTAGGCTGGGGTCAGGATCCAAGCCGTCTGAAAACCCCAATCAGGGGAGCTGAGCAGGGGTGCTCCTCCATCCCCGGGCCCGGTTGGAGCCAGTCTCCACACCCCTCCCCATTCCCGCCTGTCACCCCCAGCCTTCCCCAGCCTTCACACCTTGTCTCAGCGGCAGCTCTGCTCAGCTCTGCGCTCTGCTCTGCACTGCACTGCTTCCCAGCTCCTCTCCGAGTTTGTCTGCCTCCTCCCTCTTCTAGTCCTTGGCTCAGCCCCACTGGTCAAACAGGTGGCACTGTTGCCACCTACAGGAGGCTGTGTGGCTTATGTCCGAAGGGCTTAAGCCTGCTCTATGGCCAG